CTCATGTCTAATATACCATTATTCTTTTCTATACTAGCTAAAGCACTGAATACTGACTTCAGTCAGTATTAAAGTCACTACGCTTTTGAAAACAAATACACCTTTGAAAATAGAAAGAACATTTTTGTTTCACAGACTTAAAGGTTCCCTACTCTTGTTCTTGCTCATTTCATAGCCTCTTCTAGCAGTTCTTCTCCTAGTGAACTCAGCGAAGGCCCAGCTTCCGATGGTTCCTCTCAGGCATCAGCTAGTGGGTGTTCAGATCAGCAGAATGAATCAAATGCAAGAGCGGCAACATCAAGTTCCTCACAGACAGCAAGTGTTCCTAAACAAGGGGCCAGTGCCTCAGCAACAATTCCCAGGGTGGCTCCCATAAACAATGGTCCCTTGCCCCCAGGGTAAAGAGCAATACTTTCTGCATTTTGTTTTATAGGCCCCTCATTTAAGCTTATTTTCAATCTGTTTATTATAATTTGTATTCCTTCTGCAGGTGGGAGCAAAGAGTTGACCAGAATGGACGGGTATACTATGTGGATCACATTGAGAAAAGAACAACCTGGGATAGGCCTGAGCCTTTGCCTTCAGGGTGCCAAACATCTTCATGTTTTTTATACTATAGATATATTAATGTAGTTTGAATATTGTGTATTCAGTGGCATATAATTATCTATGTCACATTGTTTATAATCACTTTTACTATGTGTTTATCTGTTCTCTGTGGGAGTTTTTAATATCTAGAAAGAAATCCTTGGCAAAATAAACAACACTTTTTTTCTTTTTTTTTCTCTCCTTTTATGCAGATGGGAGCGCAGAGTGGATCCAATGGGTAGAGTTTATTATGTTGACCACATAACCCGAACTACTACATGGCAAAGACCCACACAGGAGTCAGTGCGTAACTATGAGGAATGGCAGCACCAGCGCAGCCAGCTCCAGGGAGCCATGCAGCAATTTAACCAGAGATTCATATATGGGGTGAGAGCAGTCACTGAATGTGCTTCAGACTACACATGAAGAACAGTTTGAAGATGTATTTCTTTTGATTTGCTTAAAGAGCCCATCTATGCATGGTTTTTGATCTATAAAATCATTTGTATATGCTGTACTTTTACCACATCATACAAAAATTATACTGCACAGTCCTTCTACGTCTTAAATTCAAATTTATAAATAAAAAAATAACTTTAACTTTTAAGTACTAAACACCTGCAGTTTAATGAATAAGCACTTAAGGTTTCCGTTTTCTACTTCTACTGTGTAACTTGCATATTTCATGCTGAACAATATATTGCAATAATTGTGTCTTGGAAACATTTTGGAACATCTTTCTCTTTAAAATGAAGTGACAGTGCAGACTTTGAGGTCTGATGTAGCTCTCGAGTGTAAAAGGAGCTCAAGTAAGGCTGCATGAGTTTGTAAAGTCCAGATAGCATGTTTTAAGTCTTGTGACTAAAAAGCTTTAAGCACCCGATGGAAATAAACATGCAAATAGTCTTGGGTCAGTTTCTTCTCTGATTTTAAGTCTAACCTGTGTTTAAACAGACCGTGACAAAAATAGTTTTTACAGATGTTTTTGCAGACTTGACATTTGTAACGTTTTCTTTCTGGCTCAGCTTCAAGACCAGTTTGCAGCCACAGCCAGTAAAGAGTTTGACCCACTAGGACCTCTGCCTCACGGATGGGGTAAGTATCAGTGAGATTACAAAAATGTTTTAGCTGATGTTACTGACATGATAAATAAATGAAATGAAATGTGTTGATTTTCTCCTTCACAAGAAAAGAGAACTGACACCAATGGTAGAGTGTATTTTGTCCATCACCCAACTCGCAGGACACAGTGGGAAGACCCAAGGACCCAAGGGTGAGTGTATTTTGTGTTCTTGACAGTAGGGAGCGCTGATATGTCTAGAATAAAGTGACAAGTGAAAGGAATGT